ATAGGGAAGAGGTGGGATAGGGTTATATGTAGGTTATTTCATCACATACAGGTAAATACGGTTAAGATTATTGACTTTTAGGCTAGAGGTGTAGGTGTATAATTAATTTTCTTAATTGGATTCTTTGCAACGGAAGAACACGCCAAGTGTTGCGAGTTAGGATTTGCTTGTGTGTTGCTTTTTGTCTGGTTTTGTAGACAGAAGTCAATAGAAATTTCCTTTTTTATCCAGTCTCTCTCTCTCTCTCTCTCTCTCTCTCTCTCTCTCTCTCTCTCTCTCTCTCTCTCTCTCTCTCTCTCTCTCTCTCTCTCTCTCTCTCTCTCTCTCTCTCTCTCTCTCTCTCTCTCTCTCTCTCTCTCTCTCTCTCTCTCTCTCTCTCTCTCTCTCTCTCTCTCTCTCTCTTTCACACAAACACACTCTCATACGGAATCCTCAGAAACTACAAACTTTAATTAATTTCTAAACTTGCATTTCCTCCTCCCGCGTTCCTCACTGGATAATGTGAGCAAAAAATCTAATTGAAATGCGATTTTATAAATATATATTTTGATAGGTTGTTTTGAATGTGGTATTGGTGCAGATATCCTAAAATCTAAAGGGAAGAGGTGCAAGTATGTGTGTGTGTGTTTGTGCTTGTGTGTGTGCTTGTGCTTCTGTGTGTATGTATGTGTGTGCGTGCGTGTTTGTGTCTGTTTGATTGTGTGTGAATTATAACCATCTATCTGTGTGAATTATAACCATCTATCTGTGTGAATTATAACAAATGATCTGTGTGTATCTGTGTGTCTAACCATCTATCTGTGTGATGTGTTGTGTGCTATAACCATCTATCTGTGTGAATTATAACCATCTATCTGTGTGAATTATAACTATCCCCGTCTGTCCTCCTCAGGGTTGGCAGGAGCGAAGTACGAGCCCACCTGGGACTCTCTGGACTCGCGCCCGCTGCCCGCCTGGTACGACGCGGCCAAGGTGGGCATCTTCATCCACTGGGGCGTCTTCTCCGTGCCCTCCTTCGGCTCCGAGTGGTTCTGGAAATACTGGCATGGTAAGTCAAAGATGTCCTTTAAGCGATGTAACACTTCCTCGAATTTCAAAGGCACTCTGATATCAAACTTCGCTTATTGTTTTTAAAAATCTTCAGATGGCAAAGGGAAGTACGTAGAGTTCATGGAGAGGAACTACCGGCCGGGGTTCACGTACGCGGACTTCGCCCCGGAGTTCACGGCCGAGTTCTTCGAGCCCGAGGAGTGGGCGAGCGTGTTCAACGCCTCGGGCGCTCGCTACGTCGTCCTCACCAGCAAGCACCACGAGGGCTTCACCCTGTGGCCCTCGCGCTACTCCTGGAACTGGAACAGCCTCGACGTCGGGCCCAAGAGGGACCTCGTAGGTTGGTCGATCGCCAGTCACTGTCGGAGGAGGATGGAAAGTCTCCTGTTTTGAGCTAGAATATTTTCAAAAGCTTATACATCCCAGGTGCATTTACTTTAAAGAAGGGTTGGAATGGTAAGGGCGTAGATTGGTTAAATCTATCATTATTTATGACAGTAGTGAATTCCGGACGCCCATCACCGTAAAGCTAGGACGGGTGAGAGACCACCTCCCCGAACCCCGCGGCAGTCAGTTCTCGTCTCTTGACCTCGTCCTCCTCCTCAGGTGACCTCGCCCAAGCCATCAGGACCAAGACGCCGCACATCCACTTCGGCCTGTACCACTCCAAGTACGAGTGGTTCAACGCCATGTACCTCGAGGACAAGGCGAGGGGCTTCGAGACGCAGGACTTCGTCAAGGCGAAGACCCTCCCCGAACTCTACGAGCTGGTGAGTCATTCCTGTTAAAGCCGATAGTTGTAAGCCATAATTACTTGATAAGATTCTCGTTGATATGCTCTTGATAATGAGCCTTTCCTACCTAATGATTAATGAATACCACGTGTAAAATGTTCCCTCGCATATTAATGCAATTAATGTATGATAATTTCGAGTCTTCGAATCAATAATGATACAGTTATAACGACCGTTGCCATTTCCATCTTTCGAACCTAAGCATATGATCTCTTCGACCAAACTTATTCGAAAGCCTTTGAAATTATATAGAGAAAAATATGCCATATTTTGTACTGAACAATCTACCTTCTTCCATGTACATTTCTACTAGGAATAATACCAACATGCCGTCCATCTTTATAGAATACAAAACCGACATAGAGCCTCCAAGTAATTTTGTTAATAAGACCTGATATTAATCAAGGTCCATAAAAAATCAAACAAATCTTGAGAGTACATGCAACATCAAATTGAATCTCTTCAACATTAATCAGAGAAAACATATCAAGCCCGTGTGTGTGTGAAGTTTCGTTATTTTGTTATATGAAATTGAAAGATGTTTATAATTCATTAATTCATGCTAATGAATGAAATATATTTCTCTCCGTGTGAATCAAATAGATATATACAGAAATATACTTTTCACCATTTCAAATTACGAAGCATACAACACCAACTCGCTCCCAGTCGAATCTAACCAATAATAAGCGAACCAAGACCTTTTGATCCCTTGTCTTACAGGTGAACACCTACGAGCCTGAAATCGTGTGGTCTGACGGCGACTGGGAAGCCCCCGACTCGTACTGGGACTCGACTCACTTCCTGGCCTGGCTCTTCAACGAGTCTCCGGTGAAGGACAACGTGGTGGTGAACGACAGGTGGGGCAAAGGTGTCGTGTGCAACCATGGTTCCTACTATACCTGCAGCGACCGATATAATCCAGGTATTTTCGGGTCCGTTTGTGTAAAAAGTTTCGTTATTTTGTTATATGTAATTAAATCTATGTTTATAAATATGCTTTTTATGCGAATTAATGAAATATATTTCTCTTCGTGTGAACCAATTAGAAATATAGTTACATAATTTTCTATGAAATATTTTACAAACTCTTACGTGCTTGCTGAAATGAGCCATTCGCGGCAGGCACGCTTCAGCACCACAAGTGGGAGAACTGCCTGACGCTGGACAAGGTTTCCTGGGGTTTCCGCCGAGAAGCCCCCCTTCGAGACTACCTCACCATCCAGGAACTCCTCGCCACCTTGGCAGAAACCATCAGCTGTGGAGGTAGAGCTCAGGAGAGTGTTCTGCGTGGTTGCCATTTTTTAAATTAATCACGTACACACTTGAAGCTTTGCATTAGGAAGCGTTTGTCTCTTGTGATTTTGCTAGAATTTTAGTCTTGTTTTTAAAAACATTGGTTAATACACTTTGTTGAAATCAATGGCGTTATTTTGAATCTTGTAAATTAAGAATATCCAAGAATAGGATGAATAAATGCGTTTCTCATATAGATATTATAGAATAACTAAACAGAGTAAGCCATTTTCTTCTCTCACAAACTTGGCGATTCGTACACTACGAGCGTATTTCGTCTTATTATCACACATTTTTGGGAACAGCTACAACCCATATACACTAGAAAAAATAACCTCAATAAATTTAGAATTATGGAGCCACCGCGTCCCCCTTTCAAAGGCAACTTGCTCGTCAACATCGGCCCCACACACGACGGCCACCTTCCCGCCATCATGGAGGAGCGACTTCGGCAACTCGGCTCGTGGCTCGACGTCAATGGCCAGGCTGTGTACGAGTCTACTCCGTGGACGCACCAAAGCGACGCCGTGACGCCGGGAGTGTGGTAAGCTATGGCGAAGTCTATACAAGTACAGGTCTCGTCACTTCGGAGTTCTGTATAAAGGTCTGTATAAGTACAATCGCTGATAATCATCACCTGTAAAATTTGTCCAATATGCAAATCGTTCAACGTGCCGGCACCTAAAATTGCTTAAGTATTTGCTCATTTGTTACCGTTTTCTATGATCTCCTTCCCACCCAGTCTACTCCTAATGACGTCATAGGACTTATCACCCAAAGCTGCGCAGAACTAAAGGTGACGAGACCTGTACTTATATAGACCTTATTCTGCACAGTTTTGGGTGATAAGGCCTATGACGTCACGTGGCGTGGTGAGAGTGGGGGATGGGGGATAGAGAATGACAGGGTGGGAAGATCATAGAAAACGGTAGCAAATGAACAAATAAGTAATTTTCGACCTTGAGCTATGGTGCATGGTCGCGACAGTGGAAGACTGATGCTGCCCTTTGTGTTTACGCGTGTGTGTCCAGACATCTTAGAATAGATGAAATAAGATGATAATAATAATAATAATTTCAATATCAAATTCTTCAAAAAAAATAAAGAAGACTGCTTCCTTCCCCCAAAAGGTACACAGCAAAAGGCGACGATGTCTACGCCTTTGTGCTGCGGTGGCCTGAGGACGGGGCGGTCACACTGGGCTCCGTCCTGCCGACCTCGCGCACCAAGGCCTACATGCTGGGACACGTCGAGAAGGTGAAGCCACTGCAGGTGAGCTCTGCTGGTTTTTAGGGAAGCTCTGAACTCTCTCTCTTTCTCTCTCTGTCTGTCTGTCTCTCTCTCTCTCTCTCTCTCTCTCTCTCTCTCTCTCTCTCTCTCTCTCTCTCTCTCTCTCTCTCTCTCTCTCTCTCTCTCTCTCTCTCTCTCTCTCTCTCTCTTATCTTATTATATTATTTTTTATCTATTTTGATATTATTGTTGAAGTGATAGAATTGCAGAGTCGTACATGTATTTTTTTTTTTTTTTTTTACTTTTCTGGGCAGAGAAAATATTACATACAATAAGTATCCCTCCCACATGCAACATGTCAGTCTCCTTTTGCAACACCCTGTTTCCTTCTCGACAGTTCACTAAAACAGAAAAAGGTCAGCTGACGGTGATGCTGCCACTGATGCACCAGGTCAGAGGTCAGTGGGCTTGGGTCCTGCTGCTCTCTGACGTCATGGCAGCCTAGGTCGACTTGGGTCACGACCTCGCTCGGCGCCACGTGTTCATCGAGTTTATCAGTAGTAGTGGTGGTGTCATTAATATTATCTTTATTGTTATTATCATTAATATCATTGTTAGTATTGTTATCAT